TCTGCCTTGCTCCCTCTGGTATTGCCCACTACCTCAGCAGAGGTGGGTTCAGCTCATGCCCTTTTCCTGCTTCTTCAGCTTTGGGAACAGCTCTGAGTTCTCCACAAACCATTTTTTCTGCATTTCTGAGACACGCTGGTTTGGTATCTTTCGTTTTAGGTGTAGCAGGGCCTGATAACAGGGGACACAGCTCAGCAAGCGACTAAATATACACCCCGAATAGGCAAAGAAGCTTGAGGTGACTAAAAATAGTAGACGTGATTTTGCTGACTGACAAATGAGGAGAGAAACACGATGCAGAGTAAATGCTCAGAGGGTTGCGGTTTGGAGAGGAGTGCTATCTGAAAGACAGCAAAATCTGTCATCCCTGTCTGGGAGGTTGCTTGTTTCAAGGGAGCAGCAGCCTGAGCTCTCGACGTAGATGTACTGACGTAACTAACAGCCACTGCCACAGACAGCCACAGCTTCCTCAAAGGAAACAGGCTCGAAACCTGAGAAACCCACATCAGAAAATCTAACTGGTATCACCGTTTACTCATTTCTGGTAACCAAAGGCCAATATGGACTACGGGAAAAGAAAAAAAATCAGTTCAAGGTCTCTACCTTCAGCACACGAAGTCCCATATTCACAGTCAAAATCAGTTACTGCTTTACAAAATAGAAGGACCTGTGATAGCAACACCTCCATCGACTTCAGATGGAAAAACCCCACAGCTGACTGCTGGCAAATTGTAGTGCTGCCACAGCAGGTGCAAGCTGGTATGGACTGACCTCTCCTCTGAAGCGCCGGGCTTGGATGCGAGTGTCATCTCTCGGGAGAAAGACCCCCACATCCTCACAGACACAGCCTGCTCTTCCTGCACGCAAAGCAAAGCCCTCTCGTCCACCCACCCCACAGACAGCACCCCTGCCACATACAGATGCCGGGCACTACCGGCACTTAGTGCCGCTGCTCTGTATGATAAAAAGCACTGGAGAATCTGTGGGATAAATTGTAGGCAGGGCAAGGAGATCCAGTCCTGCCTCCCAGAGACAACTACTCCCTTATTAAGACACTCAGACCCAGGGGAGCTTGGTGGTGAACAGCCCCCCAGGGATGGCCAGAGCAAGCAGGGGTGGCCAGGCAGGGTTTGGGACCGGAGTGATTGCCAAGCTAGAGCTCTGGAGAAAGGAAAGTGAGAGGCTATGCACAGGGAAAAGGCAGGTGAAGGAAAAAGACAAGAAGGGGGAGAGGAAGGGAGAGAGATAAACCGTTGCAGCAAAGGCAGTTCATCCTTGCATCCACCGAAGCATCTCCCACACTCCAAAAAAGGCTCCTCTGCCAATTGAATGAAAAAAAAATCCTCCCCCCAAGCATCCCCCCCCCCCCAAAAAAGGCCCCCCTGCCAATTGAATGAAAAAAAAAAAAAAAAAAAAAGAGTCCTGTCCTCAAGAGCAGTTATGCTTGGAGAGAGGAGAGGGAGTGAAATGAGGAGAAACACCAGGTGACACCAAGTAGGGAACACCACCTGGGCCATAGCCCTGGCAGAGTCACAGGGGTCAGTGCTCAGCAACAGCAGGTCCCTGAACGAGCCCATTACCAGCAAGGAGAGACCTTCCAGGCTGAAGAGCATTAGGTCAGAAAAGAAAATAATGTGTGTGTGCACGGATATATACACATGCACACACATATATATAGCGCACAGTTTCCAAGGCAACCAAACTCCCTGTGCAGAGCACTTCAGCAGCGCTTGCAGGGCACGCAGCAGCATTTCCACAGAGAACACAACTGATGGCTTTTGGACTCAAAGAAGCCCGGGAGCCAAAAAAAACCCCGAAACCACTCTGTAATTAAGAGACTATCACAACCGAAGGCAAAAAGGTTGCAATAAATTAATCTAATCACATCTTTAAACGACACCACTGCACGTGACTAGCGAAGCCACCTGCCTCAGAAGTCACTTCACAGCATTGGAAATTAGAATATCAAAAACAACCACTGGCTAATTAAAATCCCCAGCTTTGTTGCTGTATGACAAAGACAGCAGGATGTTCCAAACGCAGCCTTGCACGTGGGAGCTTCTAAGCGCTCAGTGATCATATTTTCCTTCTCCCCCCTCACAAGACATAAACCCCCCTCTTTTCTCCTTTTTCCATCCCTTTCTGGAACTAAGGGGCTGTTTCTCCTCCCTCTTTGCACAGGGGTGAGGAATTTATTTCCATATATATTTTTTATTTTATTTTTTGGCAGAGGCACAGCTTCCAGCTGGAGTTTTTCCAGCCTCCCTCTCCTCTTTCCCAGGAGTAAAGCCATTCAGAGCATTAGCAGAGCCAACAAAGCCCCTTATAAAAATAAGGCTATTCTTACCAGGCACATAGCTAGAGCCCCAGGCGTCACACTGAACAGGCAGGCAGGCAGAGAGATAATAAACAGCTGTGATAAAAAGGCAAAAAAATGTCCCAACCTGGGTGTTTAACAGCCTGACTGCCAAAATATGGAGTCTAATCAACATGGCCCAATTTCCAGAAATCAACAGGAGCTGCAGCCACTCACTGTGACGATGGGGAGAATCAGCCCCTGCCCTGGGGTAGCTCCACCACCACAGCTAAAAGGCTCTGGAGGACCTGCACAGACCTCACCCCAGAGAGGAAAGGAGCAAGCACAGCCAAGTGAAGGCCAGGTACATTTTTGCAACCCTGAAGTGTGAGGTGGCATTAAAAGAACGGGAATTTTTCCCAGAAGAAGAATGAAGGTAAAGCTTTGGCATTGGGTCTCAAAACCTATCTAGAGCAATTAAAGACAAAAGGCAGCTCAAGCCAGAATGAAGCAGAGCGGCTGCTCTGGGAATAGGGGAAGCTCTTACCTTGAGGGGTTGGCAAAGTTAAAGAGAGACTTGATTCGAAGGTAAAGACATATGCAGGTGGGCAGACACCCGACTCCTTAAAAGACCTTTGACCAATGCCAAAAACATTCAAGAACTTTGAGAAACTGGTGGAAGGAAATGCCAACAGCTTTCAGCTCATTCTCAGTGTAGGGTCTTCCTTCTCCACCCAGGTGAAATGCAGAGAAACTGCTACCAGCTGCACACAAAACCAGCCTGCTTGCTTCTACCTTCGCACATGGCTTTGGAAGAAACAAGCCACAAGCTTGACTGCCCAACAAAGTGACAAGCTGTCCCATGGCCACTGGACTACGTGCTTGGGAAGGAGATGGACAGAATTCCCTTCTGACAGCCACACACTCCCCTTTTTATAGACTAAAATTGTACAATTGCTCCAATACAAAACAAAACCACCTACAAACCTGTGCAAGAGGCCCAGGGAGTCGTGGGCACAAGTCAAGAGTGCTAGTGACTGATTGTGCAAAAGGTGCAAAGGATTGGGTGCTGTCTCAATACATTTGGAAGCAGAAAATGTGACAAGGAAAAGACATCCACACACATCAAAATGTTTCACACAATTTCAGCTGAAGTTGTTCACTGTCAGTGATGGCTTTGAATCCTGATGAAGCACCAGAGCAGAGCAACGGTGAGGCAGAAGACTCACTTGAACACCGTGGCTAGGCTCTAACCACTGCTTTCCCCCAGGGAGCTCAACATCCAGATAGTTCTGGGGTCCACTGAAACTACAGCACTTACCTCTGAGCTTCTACAGTCAGGCAGGAGGAGATGGTCAAGAGCAAATTAGCTGTTTTGGATGTCACCAAGGGCAAGCCAAGCACTGCTGATCTGGTTGTAGCTAATTAAGCCATTGCTGTCCCACCTCGCTCTTCCACTAGAGATGACGGATTCCCAAAAGGCTGGTAGAAAGAGGACACAGCCACGCCCAAGATGCTTACATGCTGGAAGAGCCAAGGTAACTGCCTTCTGCTGCCTCTGCAGACAAGAGGGGACATCAGAGCCATAAACCGGTACTGTTTGTTCCAAGCAGAGGAGTCAGAGTCCAGCATTTCCCGGAGTTCAAGCTGATGCATCATAACAAGGAACCAGATTTCAGGTTACGATGCGTGCCTCTTCCCTGAAAATCAGGACTTAACACAGTGTCACACTATAAAATGAAGTCACTGCTCCCTTTCAGAAACACTGACGGCAATTATGTCTTCTCCCAGCAGCAGTGTAGGAAAACCCTGACAGTCAGTCCTACACTCAAAAATTCACCACAAAGAAAACGGTGTCTAGTTTAACAGCAGCAAGAGCGGAGGCAAATTTACCCTCCTCAGTTTTATTGTTCAAACTGACTTCAACAGTAGGGCATGGCAGCAAGGAAGACAACTCTGCAAAGCAAGTGCAGAGGGATGGATTAAAAAAAAAAAACAACCCAAACCCCTCACACTGTCCTCCCTCAAATGGTAACACTAGCATTAAAAACAACCAAAACATGCCAAGGTTCCTACACATTACCTGGGAAGAAAATACCCTCCCAGAAGTGAAAACACCTTTTCCATCTCCTGTAAACCTATTAATGAGCAAAGATTTGGCAGCACAGAAGCAGGAATTGCAAAACTGCACACAAGGACAACCCATCCTCCCTAGACGCTGCATCTCTCCAGACCTGGAACGACTTGCCGTGCTGCTCAGGAGTCCCCCCCTCCTCTGAGCAGCCGTATGGCCCACCTGCCAGGCCACCTAGAATCATAGAATCATTTTGGTTGGAAAAGACCTTTAAGATCATCAAGTCCAACCATTAACCTAACCCTGCCATCCCACCACTAAACCATGTCTCCAAGCAATGTCCACCTCTCCCCGAACAGCCACGTGAGCAGCACAGTGCAACGCCAGGGTGAAAACCAACGTTCTGCTTATCACTGCACAGCACAGGGTTTCTTACAGCAGAGCAAGAAGGGTACTGTGCTATGGACGGGACCTATATTGTTGCAGTATTAATACATGCAGCGTGTGCAGCAAAGCTTCTGCCTCTTGCCTACATTTGTTTTCTTTGTTCCCTATAAAGCTGCTTCTTTTAAAAGATATTTCTTTGTTTTCTGTGTTTCGCCGGAGACCTTGCTGCACCCAAAGCAGGCAAGTGCAACAGGTTCTTCCCATGTGAAGAACAGATGTGTGCAAAGCTGTGTTGGCTTCAGCTCTCCACCAGCTTTGGGAGAATGCACACCTCTAGACAGACATTCCAAGTTTTTGTGTCTCCAGCTCTTCAGTCTACATCTTTTTGGTGAGAGAGCGCTCTGTTTCCAAATTCAGTCACATTTATAACATTTCTACTAGAAATAGTCATTCCCTCTCTTAATCCTCCTGCCAATTTTAGCTAGATCCTTTGTCATGTTCCACTGCAATATCAAATATTCATGTCTGGCATGCAGTAAGATCCTCAAGTCTAGTGTTTCACTATAGTGGATCCTGTAAGGGCGTGGAGATGGGTTTCCAGTTCCCTTTTCCTCCGCTTCCAAGGCATCCCCAAACCATGGAGAACCAAGAACCAGCAACGATGCTTCTTTTTAAGCTGATGACTTCATACAGGACACAAAAAGAAGTCATCGCTTTGGCCCACGTGGATATGGGAGGGTCAGGCAAAGGCCAGGAATAATCTGTTACAGGAGGCAGCTTCTTCAAATTAATATCTATTGTGTTTAGATCTCCAGATCAAGACGTCAACACAGTGAAAAGACCCAGCGCTCAGGAGCATCAAGCCTGGATTCAAGCACGCAAACATGTCAATGAGCATAATCAATCCACACTGCTGCCAGCTAGTTTTTCTCCCTCTCTCTGGATTTACAGCTTGCTTTGTGAAAAAGCCTGCTTAAAAGACCTTCCCTCACATCCCCTTCCCTCACCATCTGTCTTCTACCTTACAGCATCCCGCAAGGCAGTCGCTCACAAACCCCAGCTTTGCACGGGCACAGCAGCTACCACCAAGCTGGCGTGAGCCCACTTTACAGGGCCAGTGGAGATGCCTGCATGGCCAGCAAGAATCGCTGCTCCTCCGCCTGCCTCACGCGCTGGTGCCCAGCTCTGGAGCATCGTGGCTCATGGCACTCCAGTACCTCTGGGAAGGCCAGAAGCAGCACTGCTGCCTGTCCTGCTCCGATCTGCTGCCACCTCCCATAAAGCACATGTCCTCTCGGGCTCGCTCAGGCAGATGCAAAGTAGTCACAGCTCACTGTCCCCGCCTGAGTGCAAGAAAAGGCAGGGGAGTGGGGGCACAGCAACAGCCCCAGGAACGAGACACTATCTGTCTGCTAAGAGCTCCACATCCACAGTGGACCTGCTCCTCACTGAGGAGTTTCACAGGAAAGAGAGTTTCCTGGGCACCAGAGAGGCAGCCACCCCCTCAGGGAACATATTCCCTAAGGGTTTCAGGGCTTTCCCCTGCTATATCTGTACAAACAGGGAAACGACACTTGGTGTGGGAGCTTCCGCCGGCTGCCCCAGGCTGGCAGCAAGGAGATGGCTGGGGCGGCTCAGCCATCAGCCACCTGGGGGGGGGCAGCCCTGCAGCCAGGAGGCTGAGGCTCCCCACCGGACGGTCCTGCTGAGGTGCAGCCTAGAGAGATGACACAGAGAGACAGAAGGGTTGGATAGATCCAGCACCGGGCAGCTAGCGGCTTCTTGTGGGAAGTGTTTCCAGATGACCAGAGTGTGATCCAAAGCCCATCAAAAGGAATAGTCTTGTTGAGTCTTGAGGAATGCAGATGAGAGGAAAGGCATGAAACCAAAGCCTGGTATTACTGGAACCAACCAAGAGCAAAATGTCAGCCACATCCACAGGGCACCATTGTGTGCACCCTGGAAAGCCCCTCGCTGCCCCTGGGCCTCTGTCTGACCCGCTGCCAAGGTGTTTCCAGAGGGCTTGCCAGTGCCTGCAGGTATGGAGAGTGCTCTCCTAATCCTCCTGCTTCATCCCTAACACCCTTCTCTCCCACCAGCCAGACCTAGCAGCCACAGCCTGAGCAGGCGCCATGCTCTCCTCGACATTCATCCTTCTGGCAAGCTGAAGATGAGCACAATTGCATGTGCCATCTCAGCACTGCCCTTCAACAGGTTTTGCTTTCTGCTTCCTCTCCCCAAAGGCTTCTGTGAAAGCATTCCCCAGGGTGCACAGATATCTTCCCATCATCCGCAAACCATTCCAGTCCCCACAGACACCCAGTCTGCGCTACAGCATTTGCTGTAAGGTACAATTCACCCCGGGGTGGCAGGGAGAAGCATTTGGCAGAGCCCTTGGCCAGGGCAGCTGAGCAGCTGGTCTCTGCTACACAGAGAGCAAGAGGGATGAGAGGTGACTCTTCCCTCCAGTTCTTATCAGTTACCCCTCATGAAGCAGAAGATTTTAATGAAACCCCTTCTCCTCCTGCTTTCACGCTGTCTCTGCAGAATAACTAGCTGCTAGTATTAGAGGGGTTTACAAGGAATCAACCAAAATAAAAGCCCAAACCAAATTTTGACTGGAGAGCTCCATCCATCAGTTTTACTCAGTTCCTGTGGATTTCAACATCCATCACAAACACAAGGAGCATACTTCCCAGAGCAGCTAAAGACACAGCATGTGTATTTATTTCCATTTCGGACGGAAAATCCAGAGTTCAATTAAAACTTGCTGAATACTATTTTGCAACTGAGATTTTTTTTCCCAACAAATACAACAAATTATTTTACTGACTGCATAACCTCAAACTGCCTTCTGCGAGGCTGCTACATCCTCCCAGCTCCTACTAATTATAAGATTACTTTCTTTTATAAGCCCTTAAAAACGTTGCAATTGCCTCAAAATTACATGGATTTTTCTAACAGAGTTCAAACTGTTCTTTCCAATTCAAACTGAGCTGCACAGGGGAGAAACAAGGCTCAGCACATGTGAGCTTGCTGTCAGGACTCCTCACCTACTCCTTGGGATACATTAGCATCACAGACATCTTCCTGCCTGCCACATCTTTGCATTCATGGAGCACCTGCCAAAATTCGGAGGCTGCGGAAACTGCCGCCGAATCATTTCCCAGCTCTGGCTCCTATCACTGGGATTGAAGTTGTGAGATCAAAGAGGAAAGGAATGCAGAACATCTTGTTTGCATGTCACCAATGCCATATTGCTGCAAGGCAGCTAGAGCAAGACACACACAGACAGGAGTTACTGGCAGCAGAGAGCATGGCAAGAAAGCCTGGCTACGGAAAAACCAACCCCAGAAGCTGGGCGTTTTACAAAGCAGCACGCACCCTCGGTCCAGCTAAATACAAACTACAACCAAAAGACCATTACCAAAGAATCCAGTGTCACAGATACCGTGAAAAATAGCATCAGGAAAAGGCCACCCTCTTGTCAGTAGATGTGCTGCTCCCTGGACACCTGGACACCTCATGCTGCACTGACTCACCGCAACCTGCTCCTGCCCTTCTGTCATGGGTCTTACACTGATTTTCTTACATGCCTGTCTGATGGAATTAAGAGACTGCTAAAGAGTCTTCGTTCTACATTCGTATTTTTACGTTTCTTTGTAACTCACGTGGGCTTAAAAGAACAACACGGTGCCCCCCAGGAGGCAGAGAAAGGCCCAAGGCATCGTAAAGAACCCAAAATTTGTTATTTGCTACCTAAGCCAATTTCATTCATCTGGCAGAATCTGAATCAGAATAATTTTGATTGCTGGGATCTGGCAGCACTAGTGATGGGAATAAGCTTCTGTAATTTTTACTTTATTCTTTTTTAAATTCCTTTTCTCACAGTGCATGTGAGGAGGAGCCAGGTCCTGCCGAAGCTCATGAAGAACAACCGACTTCCCGGCTGCAGAAAGCTGGTTTTGTGGCCGCATGAGCTGGAAGTCCAGTGTGATAGTCAACTTACAGGGTTGGACATCAAAGGTGGGAAGAAACCTACCACCTTCTTTTGTTCGTAATTAGGAAAGATGAAGTCTGGAAATCACCAAGAGATCACAGTTGGCCACATCGCCCCATAACAGGTTTCTATACAGCTCCCAGGCATTAGATTAGTAGATGCAATCATGACAGACTGAGCACATTC